TATTGTGATATTAATGAAAGGAAGTGAGGCCGTAAGTCAAATACTAAGTTTTGGTAATGAAATGCTTTGCACAGTCCTTTTGATGAGCTTTTTTGTTTGCCTTTATTGTTTAAATCACTTAATTAACTAAGATAATAATCTCAGCATCTGTCTTTTTTTAAGGGTGAGTTACAAGGGTTGTTGCATTGTAGTCTTGGGATCTCTTCAATTCAACTTGAAGGTAAGTCACAAGTCTGAAACTCCAATAATAAAATGTATGGAAACATCTTTAAATTTGATTTGGTTTTTGGAGGGACTGTATGTATGATGAAAGGGGGTTATTGTTGTGTAAACTTAGAAAAGAAGGAATTTAATAAATTCTTGGTTTGGCAAATGCACATGGACCAGCATAATCTGGAAGTAAATGTTAGTGGTCAAAAATTCTATTAATTAGGGGTATTTGTATTTGATGTCAAATTTAGATTTTTGTTTGTATTTTAAATGTTGGTTGCTTGAGAAGGATCTCTCAAAAAAACCTTAAACAAGCATCTTAAGCTACAGAGGATAAAATTCATGGACCGTATGTGTATATGTATCAAAAGCTCATGATTTTTTTTATTAAATCTGACCAAATGCCTGTCGCAATCGTTTTTCCATCCCCAGGTGTTATTTGCAAGCTTTTGTGCTTTCTAACTCATGGTTTTGTATGAGGCTGGGAGCTGATGGTGCCTCTCAGTCAATGTCGGCCTATGGCTTCATGTCATTCAAATTTGTTAGTTGGACGTCCATCTACTAAAACCGAAACGCATTATGGTAGTCAATATACCTCTGTATATTGTATGGTTGAACTGCTCAGTTCAAATGATTAAACAATATGATTTGTTATGAGCATCTTGTGATTGAGTATGAAAGTTAAAGACTTTGTTAATTATAATGTCATTTTTGCAGGTTCAACTACAAGTAGCAAAGCAAAAAAAAAAAAAGCAATGTTGAGGTGGTTATGGTTCAACCATGCAAGACTCACCTAAATGTCTTTCCAGAAAAGGGAGAAGATGAAAAATGATTATTCGTTAGAGGATAGACTCCCAAATGTCGAAGGAGTAAGTGTGTATTCTAGGCGAGTTAGTAAATATTCTGCTTGCTTATTCTATTGATTTTGGTCATCAACATCAGGTTTCAAATCTCTCCAATCGTTTGCTGATATGTAACATTAATTTATGCACACATAACTTAGATGCAAGACATCAACACGACGCCAAAATTGCTACATGAGTTATAGATAGGTATACTACTTCATATGTCGTTGACTTGATGCATTGAGATCTTGGAATTTTATTTTTCCTACATATTTTCTTTAATTGGTCTTAAAATTTCCAAAACAGATTTTTCTGAATTTTTTCTTAATTTTCTTTTCAAATAATGCAAAAAGTTTTTATGCATGTCTGTGTGCTTGTATTTGTGGTTGTATGTGTGTTTGTGTCTGTTTGGCTGTCCCCATATTAAAATTGTACATTGATTGAAATTGTGCAAACATTTAATTTAATGTTATTAATTTTACAAGAGTTTATGGTGAATTTGGAAGGAGTGGAGTGGAGGGGATTTTCCCTTACAATATCAATCTCATGTTTATTTTTAGACGATTATTCACAAAAATGAAAATGATGTCAACTAATATTAGAGTTAAATGCAGAAGAATCTAGAAGATTAGTCCCACGTATCTATCCTGCTTCTCAACAGCTTGCTGCTCCTTGAGCTTATCAACAATTTCCAAGGTTATTTGATTACAAAAATAGTCGTGCTATTTTGTTATTTTATATATGTATTTTTAAACATTATCATGTATCACAAAAATGAATCTGTAGAATGTTGAGTAATTGTGTATTTGGATCTAGAGATGTATAATGTGACGGATTTTATCAAGTAATTAATGAAGACACATGTTATATACAAGAAAGCTACATGCATTATGAAATATTTATTTGAAATCTTTTCTGTAGTTTTTGTTTATATTATTATTATAATTTTTAGATCTAATGTGGTTGATTATATTGATATTTGAAATGTTACTTTATGTAGTTTGTAATAAAAAAAACTCACTACATTACATATATGGTCCCTATGGTATAGAGAATAGGCAACTTTGGTCTAATTTTTGTTTTCGTGAGAATGTCAATCCTTGTGGTTTACGTTTACTACACCACACTGACCACATCCAAAGAATTAGTGTAACCAATTAAGTTGTTTCTGGTTTATACACTCAAAGAACCGACTGGTTCTGTTGTTTCTGGTTTAAACACTCAAAGAATCGGTCGTTTCAATTAGTAACAATTGCTACCCGAAAACTAAATTTACATGATGGGGTTGGTTCAAAATCATGAATCTTGATATAATTTTTTTGGTACTTCTTATAAAATTTGTAGATACAAACATTCTTCGAGAGGCTGGTTCAACCAAGTGGACCCGAGAAGGAAAGCATCGAGTGGAAAGAGCCACAAAGAGTCTAACAACTATTGGAGGTTTTATTGACCGTATCTTCGAGTAAAGCACTATGAGATTTTGTATCAATAGATGTACAATATAAACTTAGTTGAAGTACACATAGTTGCGTTGACTGATAGTATATTTTTAAACGAAAACAGAAAACAGTATTTTACATCTAACCAAAAATAGGAACGTGTATAGTTTAAAAAAAACTTACAATGTTTTTCAATCTGACCAAACATAGGAACGTGTATATTAAAAAAAAAGATAATTTACATTATTTTTCAACAAAAAGAACTCGCCTAAAGGAACCAAATCCCTGCAGGGTAATAATTTGCTGAAAGAAAATTATTCATCACCATAATATTGCACAAGTATTCAACTAGAAACAAAAACATGAATAAAATGAAATACAATGATAAAAGAAAACCAAAGCCAATATGGTGAAGCCAAAAACCTAAACAAAAAAAGTCGAAAACCATTGGTTTTCCAAATTGACAAACCATTTTTTTTGTTTGGTTTCCTGGTTGACAATCCTGACAAATTTCAGTTAGTCATGCTTGACAAAGAACAATCTCGACTAATCCTTGTCCATTGTGTTTTGTTTAGCAGTGCTTGACATGTTCCACAATTAAACTATTCGCCGCCATAACTAAACTATTTGTCCAAAAGAACTAATCGCCTCTACAAAACTAATTTCCGAAAAAACTATTCGCACCCGTCGCTTGGCGCGGGTAAACAGCTAGTATATATATATATATATATATATATATATATATATATATATATATATATATATATATATATATATATATGAGTAAATTACACGAATGGTCCCTATGGTTTTGGGTAATTTGCACGTTTGGTACCTAACTTATTTTTTAACTTGGAATGTCCCTACTGTTTGTTTTTGTTGTGCGCTTGGTCCCTGTCTTACCTAAAAAGACTATTTTGCCCTTAATTTTTTAATTTATTTTAATAAACACACCCCTAACCCCACTTCCACCTCACCTTACTTTACCTTATATACCCCACATTATTTAAATAAATTAAAAAATCAATGGCAAAATAGTCTTTTTAGGTAAGACAGGGACCAAACACGTAATAAAAACAAACTGTAGGGACCTTCCGAGTTAAAAATAATAAGTTAGAGACCAAACATACAAATTACCCCAAACCATATAGGGACCATTCCAGTAATTTACTCCCATAGTTATTTGCCTTTTTCAAGACTTATATATCTCTAACAGTGTTTCTCCAAATCGCAGTTTCACCTACTTAAATTGTGCACAATTATCTTTAACTTCCTAAGTTACTTACACCACAACCATCAATCAAAATCAATATAACCACTCCAAAATGCACAACGCAGTGCTCAACTAGAAAATTGGCTTCCAGATATCAAGTTGTAATCATGTTATGAATTACATATCTCAAAATATTTATGCAATTTAAACATTTTATATAGGGTCTTGATCACTTGTTCTTTCATTTCAGATGGATCGAAATATATAATCCCGATGTATCCGTTTGTACAATTTTAAGTACAAAATTTTCAATCAAGATTCCTAACTTTGTCTTATTAAATATTAACGCAAGTTGAGAAAAGACGGTGCAAGTTGCAACTTACTTTTATTAAATTATATGAACAAAGGATGAGAGAGAAAGCAACGGGGGAGAAAAAAAAAACAAAGAAGATTTGCAAGTTGATGTTAAAAAATTGATGTTTAAAAAAAGAGAGATTTGGTTGTTGGTGATTGGTATTATCACAAGGCCAAGTTGCAAAGGCAGCTGTCGATTCGCTTATCTCTTGTAATACAAGAACCATATATAATTCCCTCCTGGCCTCCTACATCATTTTAAATTTTGCAAACAGCTACAAAGTTTTATTTCATGGGAGACTTATTAAATTCTATAGTCGGCTATTACTTGACATTAACAAATTTTAATTTTTATCGTCTTGTTTTAGAAAATTGTAATATTTCAAGAATTTTCCTAAAATGGCAGGCATTTAATCCTTCGGTATATAGTTTTTATATCTATACTTTTGTGTTTTAATAATCTAATAATCTATATCTTAATTAAACTCATAACTTCTATTTATCATCCAAAAGTTTTAAAATTTTCTTTTATTAGATCAAATTATAAAACTTAATTAACAAATTCAAACATTTTTATTAGTTAATACACATTTCTATACATTTTGATCGCATTATTTCAGTTGGTGAAAAAGAAAATCGGGTGGAAAATATGTAAAATATTGGAGCAAGAATAAGAGGGAGCACACGTTCTTTCTTCATAGTATATTAACAGATAATGTTCTTCATAGCCAAATCGAACAATAAAAACAACCTACAAAAAAGTCGCATGAATTCACAAAAATGATGATGAAAATGTACACCCACATAAAATATAAGAAGGATTTAATTGGTCGGCTGGCTCTGCATTTGTATTGCATCTCTATCTGTCTTCGATGGAAATGTCTTGATGTACGTGTTACTGAGATTGGTGTTCACAAATTTGTAATCTCGATTACAAGATCACTTTAGCTGGAGCTTGTTCTCAGCGATCTGAGCTAGCGACTGGAGGTTACATCTTACAATTGTATCAACGAAGACGCAGGTTTCGTCGTTTGTATTCCCCGGTGGTATATCAACGACGTATGATTCGACGACTACTGTTCCGTTTCCGTCGGGTGTAGGATGAAGAGTGGTGACGGAACGGTAGTTTGCAAGACGGTGATCGCCGCCAACGACACTAAAGCTGATGACGTGTTGTTCATCATCTAGGATCTCCAGACGTTCGGTGGATCTAGCGGCGGGGAGGCCGGAGATGACATGGATTTCTCTGAGGGTTCCGACGTCGCCGTTTCCGACTAAAACATGGCAGCTCTTGACGAAATGTTTGTAGGCTTGTGGGTTGTCGAAGCGGCGGACGACGGACCACACGGTCGAGATTGGAGCGTTGATCTGTTGGATCACGGCGGAACAGCACTGGTCTGGGCCAACTGGGTGGGTATGGTACCTGGCAACGGAGTCAGGAACCGGACTGGTGACGCATGGCTTTGACATGATAGCTCCACATCCTCCGGCGCCACCGCTCGTGGTGGTTGTGATGATTCTATCTAGTAAGATAGATGATGATTGTTGTCGAGTAGAAAGCATTTTTGATCTCTTGAATAAGATCAAACGGCGATATTTCTTGTTTGAGGGTTAGAGAGAGAGAGAGAGAGAGGGGGTCTTATAAATCGTGGTGTTGGGGGTGGGGATAGGGGTGATGGTTCATGTGAAGGAAGTAAAATATGGCTAGTTGGCTAGTTGGTCGAACCCTAAATAATGGACATTAATACTTGTGAAAATTACATTTTAGACCTTATCAAAATGACATGTTGCTGTTATTATTTTTGTTTAATAGCAACATGAATTAAATAAAGTATTATGTTGCTTTTACTATAAAACATTAATCAACTTGCCCTTGGTCACATAACGATCTTCACATATACTAACCTCTACACAATCTTCACATAACGATAAAATTTAACACATCTTTATAGAGATTAGTATTCATAGTCATAACAAGCCGGTAATATTACTACAAATAGCAGTATTATTTTGGGTTATACACAAAAACAAAATAAAATAGAACTAAAAAGATATTTATTTTAGGGAATTTCATTGTTAATTAATTAATTGTTTAATTAACTAATTAGAAAACATAATGAATATGAAATATTCTAGAATGATTTGATTCTTGGATAAATACCAAAAGCCTAGATAATTACAAATATATTTGGTATTTATCTCTAAGGTTTCAAATAACCTCCCTATATATAGAGGAGTCAAAAGTCGGTTTTGGGTACATGAGAAATTAGCCTTTCACCTCCAAAGTTCAGAAACCCTAAGAAAAAACCTAGAAGAGTCGGGGCTCGTCGCCACACCGTGGTTACTGCCACATTCAATAATCGAATCTTGTTCTTGTTGGTTCTCAAGTTGCTTTCAGATATGTTGGTCTTTTGCGTCTTGGGTCCGATCACAAGAGAGGAACTCTACGTTGGGTTCTCAAGTTCGATCAACTAGCGATACCTAAGAAGTCGAAGAAAAACACTAAGGTATGATTTAGGTCCATATAGTTGCATAGATTGTTTGAGATAGATCTGGTTATTACGAGTCAATAGATCAGAAAATATTGTTGTTTCCGTTGTCCCAATTTGGTCTTTGACTAGGCAGGTATCCCATCATTGGTATCAGATCCAGATTAATTCAAGTCTATTGCACTTAGACTATATCTTTGATTATATCTTAGGGTTTATATGTGTAGGATTTCTTACGTTTAAATCGTTTTGAATAGTTTAGAAATTTTCCTTGTTAAAATTGAATATGTTAATGCTTGTTAATACGACTTTCGGGTCGTTTTGGCTTTTTGGCACGACGCGGTTGGTCCTCCACCACGTCGTGGTCCTGCTGATGTTGAATCTAGATCGTGACTGCCTCATCGCCATGTCGTTGTCCCTACCTGTACACGTCGTGGTGTGCTGCTGAGAACATAAAATTAATATTTAAATAAATTGTCACATTTTCTATGTCCCACGACGTGGTTTCCTGTTACCCACGTCATGGAACCTGTGTTCCAGAATTATGAATTTGTTTCTTGTTTTTCTCTTTTCTCTTTTTCGATTTTAAACACATACAAACTAGCATTTATACTTAAAGATAAAAGTCAATTAATTAAAAGAAAAAAAATTGGACTTTAATAATTTAATTGTTGACTTGCATTTGTGCTTAGTCAATGCAATTAAAAGACATAAAATTCAAAATTTTTAAATCTCAATTGTGTGTGTGTGTATATATATATATATATATATATATATATATATATATATATATATAGTAAAATCGTATTTATGTGTATCACGCTATAATACAAACATTGTGTCGTCATGTGTTTCTTAATGTACATTGTTAGTCTTACCACGAGTAGGTTCACCTACTTTAATACTATAAGGAAGGTTGTAGGCAGGTCTCTTCGATTCTTAATGAGGTTGGTTTTTAAGTGGTATTTAGTACTCGCCACCCTCACCACCTTCTTGTGTTTTAAGTAGAGATACTGAAAGGGTTTGATAGGACAATTGTGAAAAGTTAAAAGCATTAACTTAATAAGTAATAAAACAAAATCTCATTTTTATAAAAATGTGAATCTTATGCTTCCCATGGAAATTACACCATGTCAAATATTCTTTTTGGCGTTATGTGTGTGTGGTTTACCGGCATGTCAAATGAGAATATAGTCGAAGAAAGGTATATGGTTATCGCCATACTCAAGCGTTACTTGAGCCAAATATTACTATAACTTCGCATGGTCGATTCTCTATTTGGATTCATGATCATCGGCTAATCCAGTCATACACGCTAAATGAGCGTTAGAAGAGATTAACATTCTATAGACATAAGTAAATAAATCTCACTTTCTAGGAATCTCATACAAATAGAGATCGATAATTTTTTGTCTACCTAAATAACTTCATTGTGTAATTTTCGGTTAATCCACTTTACATCGTGAAGCCAAATATAGATCTTAGCCTTTTAAATAATAATTTGATATTTGGTAATTGTCTTAAAAGGATTTCTTGTTCAAACTAATCGTGCTTTTTTTTCTTAATAGATGGCTCCGGGTTCGAGTGCCAATCTCCCTCTAAACTACCTTGATTAGATTCGCAATCCGAGGATCATTCTAAGGTACGAGAAAAGGAGTATGTTTTGGAAGAGTATCTGGTTGAGGAACTTCCTACTGATGAAACTGAAAAAGAGGCTACTGAATATGAAAAGCATCGCCATCACTTAATTGAGGTTTTGTGTCTGATGTTGGCGACCATGTCTCCAGAACTCCAAAAGAGTTTCAAGAAAACAGAGGCGTACGACATGAACAATTAGCTCAAAGACATGTTTCAAGAGCAACTCAAACTGAGAGATTCAAGGTCATGTAAGCAATTCTAGGTGCAAGCAATGGGAGAATAGCTATGTGAGTACCCATGTGCTCAAATTAATAGGGTACTTTGATAGACTTGAAAGTCTTGGCTTCCCATTCACTCAAGAGCTTGCTATTGATGTCATTCTTAACTTTGACTAGTGCATACAAGCAATTCACTATGAACTACTATATGCATGGTTTATAGAAGAGTATTGTGACATCCCCATTTTCCCGGAAAGAAAAGACCAGTCTATGCTTATTAAGAATCAGAGTTTTAATTTACAAATACGGAATTTGTCCCATAAAATATTCTCGGAGGAATGTTTTTCATTGATTTATAAAAAACTCAGGATGTCATCGTCGATACAAGAAATATAAGAATAAACGAAGACTTACAACATATGTTTACACTAATGGTCTACGTCTCCTTTGATCTCTTATCGGATACATATATCATCATATATGTAATTACCTGTGATACAATAAATTTAGAGGGTCAGGTTGGGAAACCTGGTGAGGCACATAGGGTTTTCAACCCACAATATTATAATTTTTAATTATATAACCATCAACATTCAAATAACCCAAGTACCCTATTTCCCATCACACTCACTTACTAATCCTATTATATAACCACTTGGGTTGTGGTGACTTGGTAAGGCATGTGGAAGATATGGTTGATAACCTATTGACCCATGTTCAAATCCTGGCACTACTCATCCCTTGTGGCCATGGAGGTTTGCCTGCAGTGACTCCAGGGCATGAGGCAAAGCCTCATGTTTGCAGTGGGGGATTAGTCGGTGCGTGAAAGCTGGCCCGGAAACCCTCGTTAGGGAAGTTCCCTTTCCAAAAAAAATAATCCTATTATGATGATCTTGAGGGATCTTTCCTAAAGGATCTTTATCAGCGGACAACTATAATTCCTAGGTGATTAGGCATGATGGTATGATAATACTTGCGACAACACGGCAGTACATTAGTACTGTTTGTATAATCACGTCAGGCACGACAGTACAAAGTACTTAGGTTTAGCACGACAATACAAAAGTACTTGGGTTTAACACGAATATACAAAAGTACTTGGGTTTAGCACGGTAGTACAAAAGTAATTAGGTTTAACACGACAGTACTAAAGTACTTGGGTTTAGCACGGCAGTACAAAAGTACTTGAGATAGATATGACAGACACGACTTATTATCTCACACGGTTCTCTCTCTAACCTATCGCAACCACTATTTCACACAACCCTATATCAACCTCTCATTTATTATTTTGTACAGCCCCTTACTACCCATTCATATTATTGCGTATGTTAAACATACCAATAAATCAAGTAGTAATCATATTTGTACAACTACATTAAACACAACAAAGATAGTGCACATAGCAGTTGAGCATTTAGAATACTTATATTTATGTGTAAGTTTGAAAGTAACTATGCACTCACTTGCTAAAGTGATGACTTGAAATTCGGGCAAAGCTTCGCTTCTAGCAGCCGACCTTTCCTTTGACGTGACCTAGTATCATTATTACTAACTCTTAGTCTAATATTCTACACGACTAGAGAGAATCTAGACCTATCAATCATTCTAATAAATACTAATAGTTCTATCAAATAAGGATCAGCCAGACAGGACAGTCGGGAGGCAGGACCATTTTGACATATAGTCTTTCTGAAATCCAACAACCAAGCTGACGTAACCATTCTAGATACCTCTCTCGTAAGTAGATCAATCATTATATGACTTGAAATCACTGATAAATCTTAATTATAGTTTCATAACAACGAATATGACTATAATTACAAATTACATGAGGGCAGAGTAAGTTTAGCTCACTTACAGATTATGGATGAGAACCATGGTCCAAGTGGGCATAACTCTGACTCAAGGTCTCCTACTCGAGGATATTACTCGAACGCGTACTTCGTGGTGTCGTAGGGCTTCACCTTAGGCTAGAAACGAAAGAAAAATAGGTTTACAGGAGGGATAATTGAGAGAGAGTGGTTATAAGAGTGTGTGGAATAAATGAGGGATTGTTGGCTATTTATAGGGCCAAAACGCATATGCGCACCACGCCTAAGGGGTGCACGTCGTGCACTTCAAACACGTCGATCCATTGGTTAGCTGAAACGTGTAACTTGTCGGCTGGAACAACGTGGTTGATTTCGCGTGCAAGCTACGTGCGTCGCGCTGCGCG